CCATCCAAAAATAAAAAGTGAATTACGGATCAATATTGCACTTTTTCCATTGTATCGAGAAAGACGAAACACGTCTGATGCAACTGGCTGCCAAATAAAAACTAAGCTATGAATCAGTCTGAAATTTAGTATGGTGTCGTTTGACAGATGGCAGTACACGACGGTAATGCCAACTTCCCAGCAAATTTCTTCAAATACGGGTACTTATTGATCAACCCTCGTACTTAATTAGGGGCTTCAGAATTTGTACAGTTTTCTAAGTATTGATACTGGTATGAGTGACTGTAGACGGGGTTTAAATTGGTAATTGGATTTAATGAACTCTTACAGATAATAACTACAAGTTAATGTAGTGCTATCATAAATTCACACATTCTGCAGTTCACTACAGCAGGTACTAGATCTTCTCAGTCTGCTGTATATTCACCAGCTGTCACCTGGTAACGGCTTCCAGTGCCGTAGCTTCCTCAGCTTCCGTGTTCACATCATTACTACCCGGGGACTGTCTCACAGCTAACTAAACATCTTGGCATGGACTGCATATAAAATGTCATTCCTCTGTTGCTGTTTCTGATGCAAAGCCATTACTCAGTAACACCTGTTGTATTCTTGATTTTGTCATGCGTTCTGGCAGTGATTGAAGCTGGCTCTTTCTAAGGGACCAAACAGAGTAGGTGTCTTCCCTCACCTGAGGACGGAAAGAGATCCAGTTTCCGAAAAGTGTTTTTTCTTAGTTATTTAGAATCTGAACAGTGGACAAAGTCCAAAAACCCAGTGTCTCTCTGTGTTATACACCATTGTCAGAACCCTATAGTTCAGCCCTGTCTGACGTGGCGCCCGTGGTATATTTTTCTGGTGCCCTCCGTAACCACATATAATTGAGCCGATTTTTAATTGCCCAGACCTCCATAGGCATCAGTGAATTGTGCCCGAGTACATAAGAAAGTTGGACAGCACTGCTATTGTTTCTACTTAGAGGTGGGATAACATTGTGTGTTCTAATGACTGTAGACATGGGTTTGTTTGGTGAATCAATTTATTGACATTCACCAGTAGTAACTACATGTAATTTTAACACTAAGGATTACTGTAATAACATGATATTGAAGACAAGAAATGCACACAAAATTTTAGTTGGAAAACCAGAAGGTAATTTTTTTTTCTAATGCTAGTTGGGTGGGACTAAGTCCTTGTACTGCGGCGAATTCTGGCCTCTTGTACCAGACCCAGATGATAGTGAAGCAAATGGTGGAATGAAGATTGGCAGGGGAAACTGAAGTACTCTGAGAAAACGTGCCCCAGTGCCACTTTGTTCACCACAAATCCCACTTGACCAGACCCAGGATTGAACCTGGGCTGCCATGGTGGGAAGCCAGTGACTAACTGCTTGAGTTATGGTACGGCAAAACTTGAAGGTAACAGATCTCTTAGAAGACCTAGACAGAGGTGGGATAATATTATGTATTTTAGTGACTATAGACATTGCTTTGGGTTGGCAAATCAATTTATTGACCACTCACTGGTAGTAACTGCATGTAATTGTAACACACAAATAAAGTTCTCTATGATAAATGATACAAGCTCCGTCCCAAGTGCAAACAATATATA